ATGTGGGAGTAGGTCATCCAGCAGAATCTGTTTCACCTCACTACCAGGTCGCTGAGCTTGAGCCACCGTCTCAGCTGTTAGGCACCTGGTACCTGGTGTGGGTTTGCAGGAGAGAATGGTCATCGGTGCCTTCTTCGGCAATGTTCAAAGGTTCCCATTCAAAGGGGATCTCCGCTTGATCATAGATGTGCTGCACATCTCGAATGTGAAATCCTTGTCGGAGACAGCACGCAACTGCCTGAGTTGGTATATCAAAACGAGGATGTGGCGGCAAATCAATACGAAGATAATCACCATGGTGAAGCTCAAACAGTGCATGGTTGGACAAAGGTACAAGCCAGTTGTTGAGCTTGATCAAGCATCTTTGGCGGACACTGGCACAATATGGTTGGAGGCGCAACTCTTCCAGCAGAATTCTTCTGGTGGTGTCCCTCCGCAGAGGTAGAGCATAGCGTCTGACTACAAAGTCATCCACATTGTGTCCATGAAATAATACATCAACCAGCACCAATTGACGTAGATCTCCAGGGACAAGGTCATCCACTCGCTGAACAATCGCCACTAGAGTGCCCGCAGCAAAGAGATCTTGAGGACGATAGTTGACCATATGTATCGCCTGGACTTCATGCCGATGCAGCTGTAGGGCATGCCGGATGTTGCTGTGCATCGTAGCCCATGTGTCTGTGCGTATACGTACAGCTGTTGATGGTCTATTGAGTCCAAAGACATGAAAGAAGTGGGACTGGACGTCACTGGCATAAGTTGATCCAGACGAGCTTGTGGGTGATTCAAAGTCAACATCATCATCTTGGACAACAGCCGCTGGGATGTCAATGATGGCTTCCGAGGGTTCATGCACGGTCATTTGATGTGCCATGAAGGAGGCAGCATCGTCTGGGTGCTCATCTGGTTGATGACGAGGGGATCGACTGCGAGATCGTGGAGGCTCAGCCTGACCTGTCGTCAAGCTCCCCTCTTCTTCCCATAAGATGGCATCATCATCGGTAGAGCTTCCAGGTGGTTGCTGAGGTGCATGTAGGGCTCTGACATGAATCACAATGGAAGCTCCATCTGGAATTGGTAGTGGGTCTTCAGGGGCATCAAGGATGGGTCTCCATCCATAATAGGCCTGAATGGGCCGATGCTGCACTTGCACTAGGATCTCTGCCAAGGCGATGGCATCATCTCGGTGAAGCTGCCTTGCAGAGAAGCGCACCAGCCGTTGGATCGCAATGCGCTCAGCAGAATGATAGACGCTGGTGAAGATGGCTGCGCTATCATGTGGACGCGGTTGTTGTACCAAAACAATCTGTGCAGCATGGTCATCATGGTCATGGGCAACTGGTGGGTCAGGGAGAAGCACATAGAAATGAACCGCTAACCTCTGATTGATTTCGTCTGCCCAAGCCCTTTTCAAAACATGTGGCCACTGCAAGAAGTCATCTGAAAGACGCACTGTGCGGGGTCTTCGGCATTCTCGAAGTCTCTGTCCATGAAGATACCAGGTGAGCACATCCATGCTTCTTTCCTGGGTGTCCATGTTCAGGTCCCCAAATTGTTGCAGGGCAATCTCCAAGTCTTGGATGTAGATGGGCTGGAGTCGAATATCATGAGGGTTAGGAATCTGTTGTTGTTCTCCAGCACCAAATTCCGCATGAAATGCTTCAGATGCACTTTGAGAATGATGGTCAGTAAAATGACACTTCAAAGGTGCAGGTGGTCTGAGACGCCAGGGTTTATTCTTCCACGACTTCAATTTCTTCTCAAACAATGTCATAGGAGAGGACATGGTATCTCCGATCTCATCTTCATTGATCAACCCCATAGTGGTGAGGGAAGAGAAAGTCACCGTCTTGGATAGCATTGGGCCTGGCTTACGCAGGCTGGAGCGCAGGTCACAAGGACGGGAGATCAAGGAAAGTCCACTTTCATCTCGACATTGAGCTTGTAGTAAATATGCAAAATGGAGTGCCATGAATGGATGTACACATTTGGGTTCAAAAAGTACCGGATGAAGAGGAAGATCATGAGCATCTGTGATGGCGAGGCAGGACATAGTTTCTGTTCCATCCTGGCATGCTGCATAGGGTCCCAAAGGCCACCTATAGGCATCAGCTAGGCTGTCGACAGAAATCCCACCATTGATGTCTGGCACATGGTGCGCAATCTCAAAGGGACTTGTGCAACCACTGCCAATGCTCAGGAGGAGCCATTTCCAGATCCTGGTTCGCAAGAACGCTGCCTCTTTGATGCCGGTACTGCCATCACTGAGTCGTCGTCGTCGTCCGACTGCAGCTCTATCATGTCTTTCGCCGCTGACGACTTGAGGCACTTTTTGAGCATCTTGTTCACCTTGCAGCGAAGTTCTGCTTCTTCTGAATCTTGGAGGGGAGGTTCTACTTGGTCGTCCTCCTCGATGACCTGCTCCGGAATCGCTGCTTCTGCAGCCTGAGCATTGAGTCTCTGCATTGTCCGTCTGGAGGTTTGTATCTCCTTCCTGGATGCCTGTATGCGCTCTTGATAGTCTTTCTGCTGGACCTCGAACGCTTCGAACTGCTTCTCCAGGGTGGACATCAGAGTTTCCAAATGCTTGAGCCATGACTTCCTGTGTTTGGTCTTGGCATCTTGTAGTTGATGAAGGAGTCTCCTTGCTTGGCCAATGGATGTACTTGTGCGGTGCATCTCTTTGGTCAGCTGCTCCGTTGTTTTGATGTCGTACTTCTTCACCATCTTCTTGACGTTGTCCGGCATTCCAGTCGGGTCGTTGTATGCAGTCTTGAGGGCTTGCATCATCTCGGCTCGCTCCTCGACAGTCATCACCGCTCCCTCGTTTTCCACCGGCACATTCTTTGTAAGGTCTGAGGACGCACTCCACGGAGGTGGCATAGTCGGCGCCGCATATTGCGGCAATGCACTGTCCTGCCTCTTCTTGCCACGTGGTTTGCGCCTGCGTTGTTGTTCGGATCCACTTCTTGCTCTGGGTGTGTTCGCCCGTGGATATGAGGCTTGATTGCCTTGCCATTGTACACTTCTCCCATGCGGCGATTTCCGCCTGCCCTGAGCCCACTGTGCTGCCTGGCCTTGATTCCATGGTGGATCGGCCTGTCGCTCCGGTGGGGCAAAACTGGTGTCTTGGCAACGATCCCAACGTCCACCACAATGTGGGCAGTGTGCGTGTTTGCCACTCAACACTTTCCAACATCGTTTGCATCGCCACGATTCCGCCATTGTGTCGACAGGCTGGCGAGCTAGATGATTGAGCTGCTTGATGAACTGAGAATCCGCCGAATGGTGCTTGGCGAGGATCTTGCTGTACGCAAAAATGCGGTCGCTGGTCAAGTGGATGAACCCTTTCCGATAGAGCCACACTTGTCTCCGGATGATTGCTCGCTGTCGCCTTTGCCGTCTGCGCTGCGTCGCAAAAACCGTGATAGCAACCAGGAATCCAAATGTTCACAAAGAAGAGCAAAAAGGGGAAGAGCTTGTCCATATACACCGGGTCCAAAAATCAGATCAAGGGAGTTGAGCAGCCAGGAAAATTCAACTGATGCACAGCAAGCCCGATCGTGAGGGAATAGACAATGGTGTAATAGAAAAATACGGTTTATGGCAGTGTACCGTTAACCCGTCCTCTAAATAGAGGGAAAGCCCAACCACACCAAACGCAGAGGTACCACGGCTTGAAGACAATGTTCAGAAACCGGACCAGCGTAGAGGGTGTTTATGAGCAATGGTGATCGGGGCTTGCTCTGGGCAGCGCAATGCAAAGCGTCCGCCCGCGGTCGTCAGAACGTATGGCTGCGACCGCTTAGATTTCACGGGTTAGCGAGGTGAGGCTTGACCCGAAAACCTTATAACTATAACTATGGTTATATATAACTATAACTATGGTTACAGTATGTTATTTAACCTCCGTATGTTGGGATAAATTGCATACTATGGTACTAGAAAACTATGGTGATAATGTTATTAAACCTCCATAAGTTGGGATAAAAAAACCATAGTATGGTTCTAACTTCCTTGTTATCGTATGGTGTAACTTCCATAAGTTGGGATTGTACCCTCTGGTTATGTCAAACATAGCGAACCGGAAGCCATGGCCCAGTCGAAATAGTGGATTTTCCCAGCTACATAGCATGGTGATGTTCGATTGTTATGTAAACGTTTACAAGAGGCTATAGTGGAAAATCATAGAAAATTCTGGTGATAATATGTTAGTTATATATATATATATATAGTGGGATGTGACCACGTCTTAGTGGAACTGCTTGTCGCCGTGGGCATGGGCGCTGGATGATTTCCTGGTGATTTGGACGAGGGATGCCTAGCAACGCCAGAGGCTGATTGGTGACCATGTTTTTGAGAAGTTAACATCAATATATCTGGGTAAATTATAACGACCTCACTGCGACCTCACTGGAAATCATGGTTAGTAAGGGAAATCATCCCCAGATGGCCTTAATTCAGGGTAGTGAAATATTATAATTTACTCAGATATATACTTACTGGTGGAAACATGAAATTTTAATCCATTGGAAATTATGGGTACCCTGGGTACCCCATTTCCAAACCAATCCTGATATATGGTAAGTGAAACCCCAGATATTGAGGCAATACTGTTTGGTGATCAATGTGTTCGATTGGTCAAAATCATACTTATTGATAAACGATCTGCCATGTGGGACCGTAAAGTTACTCCCAATCGTTAGGTCCACAAGCTGGTGTGCTGGACATTTCCCTTGGTAATCTAACGGTTTGCAAATGGGAAAATCCCATTTTTTTTTATAGATAAATCATCAAACTAAATGGGCAATTTTCCAAAGATATCTTAGTTTACTGGAGGGTATATATATATATATGATGATTATGCCTCAAGAATGTGATTTCCCCAAATATTTGTTGTCATTTTGATTGCCGTAGGGTATTTTACCATGAGACTTCCTAGGTCTGCGTTTTCACGTCGCAATCATTTACCACCCTGACCCACGCCGTGGTGGAAGGCTGCCACGGGAGTGCCCTTTGACAAAATGCATCTTGGCGACAGAGTCGTATGTGCAAGATGATTGCACGCGCAAAACCAAAAATGCTATCTATCTATGTATATATTATCTATCTATATATACGTGTATATATATATATACATACAATAAATCATATATATATAGGGGTATTTCTTAAAGATAGGGGAACGTCCACAGCCCGTGCAATTTCCTGTTCTTAAATTAGGGTCCCCCATGATTCAATGATTCCCCAAGGCTGATGCAGTGGTGCATAGCCTGGTTGATATATGTGGGAAATCGTCCCACCATTGAAGTCGCAGGGACATGCTGAATCTATTCAATGTTTGCGTATGTATATATATATAGAAGCATACATAGACATACATGCATACATGCATACATGAACACATGCAGCATGCATACATGAATACATACATAGATGCATACATCCATACATCTGGATGAATTTGATCATGACCTCACGTCGTTTTCGGTCACTGGAATGATGGTTGGCTGATCCCTCATTAACCATCCCCAAGTGGCCGAACCTGAGGCTTCAGCTGTTTTCAGGTGACTGAACTACTATGCTGAAGGGCCAGATACCATTGTATTAGATAAGATCAGATTACAATACATGAATTTTACATGACATGAATTTTACACTACATACATATATGTAAATGCATATATATATATACATATAGATTTTCGAAGTCTTGCTTTTCTTGTTACCATCGGTCATTTCTTTGGGTCGATATCTGGGTCCTTTCAGCAAGGCTTTTTTTCGACGACTGTTTGTGGTGACTTGGCAGAGACGTTTGGATGGCTGTTGACCCACCAAAGTTTCTGTTGGATTTGTCTGAAGATTCAGGGCAAAACCCCTAGAATCCAATGGTTTATCATCACTTTTTGTATATATATACTGTATATGTATCTTCAAATCGCAATTCGGGAAGCGGTATACACCATTATCTCATTCTTAATGCATTTAATCTCTGATTCATGAACATGCTCTCTGTTCATTCAGCAACCCCAAGTAGACAACTCAGATTTCCAATGATTTAGATGCAGCAATTCAGAGACCCGACCCCAGTGACTGAGTTGTTTCATTGGGGCTGCTTACTATTCTAGCCATGCACATCCACCCCCATTCACTTTTAGTAACCACCAAAACAATGCAGTAGAGGAACTATCTATCCCTAGAATTTTGTTCAGATGTTCACTCTTCTAGGTGAAGAAAAAGATGTATTCCAACAAAAACATTGGCAATAAATCGCTAGTGACATCCAGATCATCTAGGTTTTCCCTATGTTTTCCCTACGTTTTTCCCATTTTTTCCCTACGTTTTCCATGCGTTTTCCCCCACGTTTTCTCCACATCCAAGGGGTGACCACTGCGGCATGGTGGCTGCCAGCTGCCGTGAAGCCAATGGCAAGGGCGTGGTGACCGTCAGGAGCAAAGCGGTGGAGAATGATGTGGCGAGTTCATATTTGTCTGGTTGGTGGTTTGGAACATTTTTTATTTTTCCATGTATTGGGAATAATAATCCCAACTGACTAATATTTTTGAGAGGGGTTCAAACCACCAACCAGAGATAGTACATTTCAGTAGTGCAAGGTGGACCACCGTTTTTTGTCTAAAGAATGCTGGAGTCCATGTTAGCAGGGGAATTCCAACAGTGATACTAATAGTATATTTTATTCTGTCACTAATAGTACATCATTGATAGAATATGAATTAGTGGAGAATGATGTTATCAATTTGCTATAGTATATATTCACATCATGATATCTATTATATATATATATATCATTGCTATAGAATGATGCTATAGATGTGGAGAAAGTATTGTATAGTATAGTATAGCAATGATTTATCTACATATAGTATACTATAGCAATGATATGGCAAATGATATGGCAAATTATGGCATTACTATAGCAAAATATGTCAGAATATATAGCAAATTAGTGGTCAAAATTGATATCCTCAAACTAATTTGCCATATTTTTCTCCTGACGGTTCATATATTTGGACCATATAAAGTGTTCATATCATATATAGAACTCAAACTTTGGACTATCCACAATGGAACATATCTATAGTAGTTGGGAATACCTTATATATATATACACATTGGAATATCCTTTCCATAATGGATTGAGATTGTAATTGGGAATAGCCAACAACATAATGGCCAACACTTGGGATTCGCCTCTGGTAAACATACAAAAAGCTGTAGAAAATCACCATTTTTTGGTGGGGGCCATTTTCAATAGCTAGTTGAGGTAAATGACCATAGGCCCTGAAAATAACACCGTTTTAGTGGTTTCCCCAATCTTCCAACCCCGAAAAATGGCAGGTGTTAATTTGCCAGAGGGTAATTGAGAATACTATGTTGGAATATGTATCGTCCACAATGGAATATATCTATATATAGTCAGTGAGGAGTTTACCAATCAACAATCAACCAGCAGTGGCGAGAGATACTTTTTGAATCATTATACGTAGGATCACAATGGGGAATGTAATGGAAGTATGTTGGGGACTCATACGGCAATTGGAAGAATGAATGATGAATGGTTGGTCAATCCAATTATTTTCCCACACCCATGATCAGCAATTAATTCCGGATATTAATTTATTAGTATTGGAATATATTGAAAATAGGGGATATACATATAGGAGATTTGTACTAGCCATTGGATCCCCTACAAACTGATTCAACCAACCATTGGAATAACTCATGATTAATGGCTGGTAAATCCAATTGAAACATATTGGGATTATAACGGACCTATTTGGTGGATTCAACCAATAGCATAATTGGGGATTCAACCAACAAGTGAGCAGTGAAATGGTGGGGTATACTAATGATTGATTGATACTAATGGATTATAATGGATATATTTTTGGGTTTCAACCAGCAATCAGTATAAATGGGATTCAACCAAGAATTGCCAGTTGCTATATATATATATACACACATAGATAGTCACATTCCCACTACATTCCATCATATCCCATTGTATTCCATTGTTTCTGCTATGAATCAATCGGGAGGCAACCAAGGCTTGATCTTTCCGAATTATACTGCTAGGTTAAGAACGGGATTTTAATCTAATAGATTATGATCATAGCCAAAAAATAACTCAAAAATCTTGGGTAGTACAAGCCTTATTTGAATCAACCAGCAGGGCTTTGGAACCATTGGGGATGGAACCAACTATAGTAACTATGGCGATATAGCGGGGACGGGGATCCAAAGGTAACCCGGCAGCCAGACGCCATGGCTTAGTTGAGTAGTTCATTGTGAGTTGTCCAGCATGCTGGTTGCCCATCGGCATGTTAACTTCCCATCAAAACCACTCTTGATCCACTGGTTGCCCATTTTTTGACACAGTTCACTTCCCATCAAAACATATCAACACATATCAACTTCCCACTCTTGATCCACGTCCCCGATATTCCGGGAAGACACAAAAACACAATCCGGGCCCAGTCATGATCGAGTACGGAATAATGTGTCGCTGCCAATGGGACAAAGGAACCTTTTTGCAGCAAAAAACTGCTGGGTACCTCATGACAATCTTCATTACGGTAAGTGAAACAATGTCACAAAAAAAGGCCATATTTTGATGGTTCCAAGTTTCAATCCCATCCAAAAAAATGGTAAATTTCAGGGGATGGTGGATCCGACCTATTGCTTTATTCACCATTAAAGAAAGCTATGGATTTAATCATCAATAGTAAGACAATTGAGCTGTACCAAAAATTTCCCAGATGCAGATGCTTTTCCCATTAAAACAAATCCTATGAATATCTGGTTGGTGGTTTCAAACATTTTATTTTCCATAGTATATGCGATAATCCTTCCCGTTGACTTGCATATTTTTCAAGATGGTAGGTCAACCACCAACCATATATTTATTAACTGTCATTAACAATAATCATATATTAACCATTATAGTACATTAACCACATTTTTGTAGCTTGAAACAAATCCTAATCCCATAGAATCCCACTAACTAGTTCGTTATATCACCAACAAAAACCAACAAATCCCATGAATTCATATATACCTGCTTATTATCAACCATTAAACACAAGTTATACCAACCAGTACCCCATTAATACCAACCAGTTTTTACCAACCACTCCGAAGCGGTGGTGCTTCGTGAGGACGCCCAGTGGTCTTGGTGAACGAGAGTGGGAACGAGGATTGAAGCAGCAACGAGGATTGCCCGTTTACTTGGGAAGTTTGGGAAACATGGAATTATAACATATCTATTAGAGGTAATTGGGTAACAAATCAATATATATATAGAATCATGTTTTTTGGTAATAGACATGGGTTCAACATCAAAATAGAACTGTTTTTTTTTAACAGTCAAAGAGCCCGCATAAGAATGTGTATATCAACCAATAAAAACATGGGTAGAAACTTCAACTTTTTGGGATCCAACTGACATAGACCCTGCCAAATAGTTGGAAGACTCCTTTCCTGTAAACATGCCACTAATTCTTCAGCTAATGGGCTTGTTTTGTCTGAAGTGAATGTGGCTGTGGCCCAGAATCAGTGACTCCACAGAATAGGATGAAATTGGATGTTTTGTCAATAGACTCAATAGACACTGGCTGGTTGGTGGTTTGGAACCTTTTATGATTTTTCCATATTGGGAAGAACCATCCCAACTGACTTTCATATTTTTCAGAGGGATTGAAACCACCAACCAGGGATTTAGGGGTGGGGGATGATTTTGACCAACCAGAAAACTATGATTTTGGGAAAATCTCCCAAAGAATACCACCTGTTCAGGGGACCACAAGATGAGCAGATCCAAGACTAAAGTACGAAAGCACCCCCATGTCCTAGACCAAAATTATATTCGTATTTGTGCCATGCTATACTACTATACTATAAGGAAACGAAATTAGTTCACAGTAGATTACTATACCAAAGAAAATTGAACAATATATCAATAGGATTTTCAGTAAATATTCCTTTACATACCCCTTACGCCTAGGCACCTCCAATTTCCATCAGTCCCTGAAATGGCCATTATACTACATGATACTACTATACCATACTGTACCATATCTGGTTGGTGGTTTCCAGTTTCACCATGGAATTTGATGAATGACTTTCCAGAAATTCACAGTTTTTTGTAGATGTCATAACCCCAGTCAGATTCCCACAAGACCACCATACGTCGTGTCGTTCGGCCGCAGAAAACCAAGGTATGACATGGCGCAGTCTCGATAGTCGACACGATGGAAAGATCCACCGGCCGCGATTTCTATGGGAAAATTCACTATATATTTCTATGGTGTTTTTTTTCCATAGTTTTTTGTTAAGAAATTACCAGAGGCTATATCTTAGTTTTATGTATGGTCTCAATTGGTCAAAAAAGCATATCTCTAGATATACACACATGTGTTTTCTATACAGTATGGTAACTCAAATTATGTCAATATAGCTATATAGAGCTTAAGTGTGCGTTTTGGGTGACCTCCCCAGCCGGCGCCGGAAATCACAAAGTTGGTTCGGAGAGATTCGTTCTGATCTTTTCAATAAAACATCATCAGGAACAGGTGGCTAAGTGGCCACATCTTTTCCGGAACTTTCAGGAATGTCCAAGTAGTAAACAGGGCATATATCTTTCGTGGGAATTGTAGGAACTCTCATTGACAGTTTTGAAAAGAAAAACATCAGAATTGATGGAGAGGTCAATATCTGCTACCCAACATCCTGCAGATACTGGGTTGACCATTGTCGGTGACATCATCTCAGAATTTCTTGGATGCATCACATGGATTTCTTGGAATACGATGACTATACAATTGGATGGCGGTAATCTACAGGTCCTGAACGTTCAATTCGGTCTTTTTAAGCATTACTCAAACTGCAACCCCCATCACAAAGAGATTCAACCCGGTTCCACCTCTGCTTTTCAATGATGGAACGGATTTTTCCTACACCGCGCTGGTCCGCGCTGGTCGCAACATCGTTGAAATCTCGACGTTGATCGCTTGGAAGAAAAGGGAGTGGCTACCGCTCTGTCCGGGCATGAAACACCTGGCGGCAATGGGGAATCGGCCACTTTTCAAGGTAAAATCGTCTATGAACGGATACATATATACACACACAGGTATATATATATATATATGTACAGTATATATGTATATATATATATAGATGCATATATATATATATATACAGTGTGTATATATATATATACAGTGTATATATATATATACATACAGTGTATATATATATACACATACATACAGTGTATATATATATATACACTGCAGTATGTATATATATAGAGCAAGCCTTTTTCAACAAGGGTTTTTGCAGATTTTCCAATCCAATTGTTTGTTGCACAGTCCTGCGCCCCGGGTCGCCTTTGCCGTTGCGGCAAGCCGAATTTCAGATCTTTGAAAGGAAGATGTGCAGGAAACATCAGAATTTTGCATAGAAACAGCCATCGATTGGATGGACATCTGGTCTGTTAATTGGGAACGGACTGATGAATGGTCTGTTCGCTTGTTAGTTATACAACTTGTTGGTTTTCGCCCCAGTCACTACAAAAAAAATCGTTATTGGTTTCACGAAGTTCATGAAGCCTTGAATCAGTGCCTTGTGTGGCACATGATATGAACCCCACGTTGATTAGTTCCATCCCATGACGATCAACATTTGGTTGGCTTCCCCATCAAGGCGTTGCTGCAGGTGGGGGGGCTGGAGCAGATGTCCCTGTCCGCCGTAGCAGCAGGCGGGTTCAGGATGGTGAAAATGGGGTTTTAACGTGGAAAAAGGTGGGATTTTGCCAGCAACAAAAAGCACATCTTGGGGTTTTGGGAAACCCGCCATTTTTGGAATGTGGGATGTGACTAAACAAGTTGATATTTGAGTGTGTATCTTGTATTATGTGGCTATAATACAATGGGATAGAGTAATGATTGTCAATGATTATCAGTGGGAATATCATGTGGCTATATATATATACATAATTATAATCTAGTATACGCCAGCTAGATGAATGGACATATCATCAGTTATATGGGATATATATATATATATATATGTACACTGTATATACCCTCTGGTTATTTAACATAGCCATGGAAAATCACCATTTTTAATAGGTAAACCATCTATTTCTATGGGCCATTTTCCATGGCTATGTTAAATAACCAGAGGGTATAAATATACATGGCTTATCTTCGCCATTTGCTCACTGGCACCCCAGTAATGGTGCAATTGAGGCAGCAAAATTCTGGGGTATCTGGTGGTCGTGTTTTTTTTTGGATGGCTGACTTAGTTGGGAAATCACGGAACGAAATGGAGGTTTTCATTGAACATAATACACGTGTATATATATATATGTATCATATACACAAAGGGTAGTACTATAATGGAAAAAAATGGGTACCACCATTGGATATTTTACCTTTCCCCAACTAATCAAGACCCCGTGAAATAGGCAGTTGGAAGCATGCGAGGGGATAGAATTACCATGCTATACCCATTGGTGGAGAGTCTGAATTGAACATTTTTAGACAATGAAAAAGGCAGGTTTCCACCCCAAAAAAAGACACACACACACAAACTTGTCAACAATCAAATCACTGATGCGGCAGTGCTTAACAAAAATTGCCAGAAAACCACACCACCCAAATGGGTGGGTAGAACACCCGAGTCACCAGCCCGAGTTACTGACTTCAAAGATCTTGGGTAGAAAGTGGGACTCGATGCCATAAACTCTCCCACACCACGACTGCGGGGTCATTCTACCTCACCCAAATATGAAAAATAGTATACTGCACCGACTATACCCATTATTGGTTTGCCACATTGTATATATACGTGTATATATGTATATATATATATACACGTACACATATATATATATATATGTACATATATATATATACACGTTCATATATATATATACACACGCACATATATATATATATATATATAATATATATGTATATGTATATATATATATGTATGTATATATATATGTATATGTATATATGTATATATGTATATATGTATATACACACGTACATATGTATATATATATATACACATATGCATGAATTACATATCCCACGCTGTTCCTTGTGGAATGAACGCCTATGACATATGCAGCAGTTGGAGATTGTCCAGACTGGAAATGTTGAAGATGCACTGTGGAGTGTGTAACATTGGTTGTCATTGCAAAGGCGTTTAGTTTGATCCTGTATGTATAGAACATATATGTGGTATTACTGTATGTTATATGGTAATGTTCCATACACTACACCCATTTATAGACACATAGATTTGCGAGTTCTCATCACATAGGAACTTGCAGCGATGGAGGTGTGTTTCCTAACGTCGGGCGAGACGCTCACAGTCCTTGAAGATGAATTGCAAGGCAAAAAAGCCAAGGCAGTGAAGCAAGCCTTGGCAGCTAAGGTTGGCATTTCCAGATTCAAGCAAAGATTGTTTGTGGAAGATGGTTCTTGGGAGATCCATGATGATGAACTTCTAGATCCGGCTCCACTGAAGATCCAGCTGGTGGTCTTGGAATTCTGGCCAACTGATGATGAAGAAACACAGAACATGATCTCTGCATCCAGGGAGAACAACTTGGTTGCGCTTGAACAGTTGCTGCAACAACCACGAAATCCGAATGACGCAGACAAAGATGGCAAGTCGCCCTTGTTTTACGCTGCTGGGCAGGGACATCTTCAACTCATGCACCTGTTGCTGGAGGCAGGAGCAAAGGCAGATGTGCTCCAGCTTCCCCTGTGCGCACCATTGCGGGTTGCAACTCAAAATGACCACCTCGACATTGTGCGTTTTCTAGTCAAAAATGGTGCGTTGACAGATCAAGCAGATAACAGTGGTGCAACACCCTTGATGATTGCAGCTCACAATGGCCATCTCGAGATCGTGCGCTTTCTAGTCGAAGTTGGTGCAGCCAAAGATCAAGCAGATAACAGTGGTGTAACACCCTTGTGGATTGCAGCTCAAGATGGCCATCTTGAGATCGTGCGCTTTCTAGTCGAAGTTGGTGCAGCCAAAGATCAAGCAAGGAACAGTGGTGCGACACCCTTGTGGATGGCATCTCGCATTGGCCACCTCGACATTGTGCGCTTTCTAGTCGAAGTTGGTGCAGCCAAAGATCAAGCAAATAACAGTGGTGTAACACCCTTGTGGATTGCAGCTCACAATGGCCATCTCAAGATCGTGCGCTTTCTAGTCGAAGTTGGTGGAGCCAAAGATCAAGCAAATAACAGTGGTGTAACACCCTTGATGCTTGCAGCTAATAATGGCCATCTCGAGATCGTGCGCTTTCTAGTCGAAGTTGGTGCAGCCAAAGATCAAGCAGAGAACAGTGGTGTAACACCCTTGTGGATTGCAGCTCAAAATGGCCATCTCGAGATCGTGCGTTTTCTAGTCGAAAATGGTGCAGCCAAAGATCAAGCAAGGAACAGTGGTGCGACACCCTTGTGGATGGCATCTCACATTGGCCACCTTGAGATCGTGCGCTTTCTAGTCGAAGTTGGTGCAGCTAAAGATCAAGCAAACAACAGTGGTGTAACACCCTTGTGGATTGCATCTCACAAAGGCCACCTCGACATCGTGCGCTTTCTAGTCGAAGTTGGTGCAGCCAAAGATCAAGCAAATAACAGTGGTGTAACACCCTTGTGGATTGCAGCTCACAATGGCCATCTCAAGATCGTGCGCTTTCTAGTTGAAGTTGGTGCAGCCAAAGATCAAGCAAATAACAGTGGTGTAACACCCTTGTGGATTGCAGCTCACAATGGCCATCTCATGATCGTGCGCTTTCTATTAGAAGTTGGTGCAGCCAGAGAACAGTGGTTCAACACCCTTGTGGATTGCAGCTCAAGATGGCCACCTCACATTGTGCGTTTTTGAGTTGAAGCTGGTGCAAGTGCAACTGGAACTCTGTTCCTTCGTTATCTACTGTTTGTGTATGGGTTTTGGTTGATTCTCTATCTACGGAATCTACGCTTTGACTGGAAAACTAGATGGGAACATCTCAGAGCCGTGCATGTTTGAGTTTTCGATGACTCGAGGGCGTGGTTTTTATTTGGGAACTGGCCCTTTTCCATGGTTTCTGCAATATACAGAATACACCATGTAATCCATGTACCATAGATTCAGGCACAGAAAATTATGAATAGCTCTGTCTCAGTATATACCGAATTCTTGGCTCCGCCAGCTTTGAAAAGTTGTTTACCGCGCTGCTGTTGTGTTGCCAACTTGGCCTATTTTTAGTGGGTGAATTGAGGCATTAAACCATCCCCTGAACCTGGCCTTTTTGGGGTCATTTCTCATCATCCTAAATGAGGGGTATAAAGAATTGTATATAAAACATCTGAAAAAATATATGGCAAGAAACTGCTTCTACCATCACATGTTTTCCCATGACTATGGGGTAGATGGTGACGACCATGGCATGAATATCGGACGAGTTGAAGGATTTTTCTCACGTCGTTTCTCAGATGTTTCGTTCGGATGTTGTTTCGGCATCCGTTGATGTTTTGTGAAACGGTCCTGGCTTTCCGAAATTTCCCACTTGGATGTGGAAAAAGCCCCCTTACCTTTGTGGGTAATAAGCCAGGATATGCGAGCTATATGGGCATAGAAGAGAAGTGATATGGTGGTTTCCCAAAATGGGTGTACCCCCCAAATCATCCATTTATAGATGGATTTTCCCTGAAATCAACCATCCAGCGATAAAGGGGTACCCCCATGACTATGGAATCGATGGAAGCCTCCATATGGTGTGAAACTGGGATCGTCATGGTCATGACAGCTGGAAGCGTTGCGAATTTGGATCTTACAGGCAACACCTGGGCTTTTTGGTGGGTTTGACCCAAAAATTTTTATGGGTCGCCGAAATCTGGGGCTATATCCCTTCCAAAAAGATGCGAAATTGATCTAAATTCTTTGAATCGGGCGTTGTTTTATATGACCTTTGGATCCAATGAAAGGGGGATTTACCCAAGCAACAAGACAGTTTTAACCAATCATGGGCTGGACTTGCACGCCACGTATCTGGTCCATCATTTGGTTGGCAGTTTCAATCATGTTTTACATCCACAAAAAGAGATGATGATTCCCAATGATTGTTCTGTCTTTCAAGGTTCCAGGGTGGCTTTAAATTAAGCCAGCCAGTGCCAAAAAAACTCGGAAATCTCAAACTTCACCGCATTTTTGGAATGGTTCTGGAAGGCTCACCTGGTGCTTGCGGCAAAACCAACATTCAACCAATATGTTTTCATAAATGGATGGCCAATGATTCACCTTTTTTGTTTCTGATTGCTGTAGTTCTTCCTAATGAAGTCCCTATTTTTTTGGTGTTGAACCCTCCATGACTCAAGTTGATTGGTGAATTTCCCTTACTGCTGGTGATTGAACCCCTTTCGGTTCTAGTACCTGATCTTCGACCCCCCATTTAGGCAGCTCAGCTCACGTTTTTCAAGACGCAGGCGACCATAGATTTTTGTCCCATGAGTTTTATTGGGGGTTATGATAAGTTATCCCCAATCATTCCTTGTTTGGTCACTGCAGAGTAACTGAGTAACTCCGCACTTGGTCACTGCATCAAGGCTTAAGCCATCCAATTTCTTCAGCCATTTCTGTTGATGATTTCATGATTTCCACATTTTTGTCATGATACCCCACCCACCCCCCAAAAAATTTTGGACATGAAGTGCTTTACTGCTTGACCCAGTTTTGGCTTTGGCTGTAATCATGGCCGCTGGAAAATCTCCAGTAGTTCGTGGCGTTTGCGAACGAAACCTCCATTTTTCACGGGGATTTCCACTGGCTACGATTCCCGGATATCAACCAGGAAGATTCCATCAACATTCCATTACCCTCTGGTAAACTAACATAGCTATTGAACATGGCCATTTATAGTGGATTTTCCCATTAAAAATGGTAATTTCCCATAGTTATGTTAGTTTACCAGAGGGTAACATTCCATTGACATCTCATGAATATCTGATTTTAATCCCAATGATAAGCCATTACTTGGTGGTTCATCCCACTTAGTAAGTGGGTTATAACCCCAGTTATAAGTGGATTAACCCTACTTATCCCATTTATAACTGGGGCTATAACCCACTTACTAAGTGGGATGAACCACCAAGTATTGATCATTCACCATGGGCAAACCACATCAACCCTCCATTTTTTTTGTCATTTCGAGTCGACCCAAGCCCCGTTTCGAAGCCTGGCAGGCGCCAGCAGCGCTTGGTTCACGGCCGTTCAGGTTGGGTGGTGAGATTCGACTTGGACCTGGGGCATCGTTGGGTGTTTTGTAGAAGCCATATCGAACAAACACACCCATTATATATATATAATGCATATGCGTATATATATAATGTGTATATATATAATGTGTATGTAATTAATGTATACATAATGTGTATGTATATATATATAATGTGTATGTAATTAATGTATATATAATGTGTATGTATATATATAATGTGTATATATATAATGTGTATGTAATTAATGTATATATAATGTGTATGTATATATATACATATATAATGTGTATGTATATAATGTGTATGTAATTAATGTATATAGAATGTGTATGTGTATATATAATGTCTATAAGGTATAAAAATGGTGTATGTATATACGAATATAATATATAACGTATGTGTAATTAATGTATGAATGATATGATATAATATATAATATAATATATAATATAATATAATACAATATAATATAATATATTATAATATGATATAATGTGCTGTAATGTAATATGATATAATGTACTATAATGTAATATAATATAATATAATATGATATTATATAATATTATGTAATATAATATAACATAATATAATATAATATAATATAATATTATACAATATTATTTATAGTGTATATATATAATATTGTATATATATAAGTCAGTGTTTTTTCCATATGATCATTACCCACTTAGGATTCCTGGGATGTACCCCTCAAGTATGAGGCAATTGGATCCATTGGAGAATTGAGTGACAAAAGGACTCAACTTTTGTTGGTTTCAGCGCCATTTTCTGTTCGTTTTCAACATCGAATCCACCGCTTTTGAAAGCCGCACCATTCGGTGCTGTCAAACCATCCTTCAATTGATTCTCTCCATATCTTTCCCCATGAAATTAGTAAGTTTTCCATGGTTTTCCCAATTTTTCCCGGTGAATTTCCTCGGTTTTCCCGGGTGATTTCTCCATTTTTCCCCCGCGTTTGACCTTTCTCTTGGGAGCCTCCGCCACAGGAAGCCGCGGCACGGCGGCAGTACGTGGACCGCTTCATGGAAGATGAAGAACCGGTGGATCCCACGACCACCGCGGATGGGGCCGGGTTCAGCACCTCGATGAGCGTCACCTGGGGTAAGCACCAAAAAACCATGATGAACTGGGGGATTTTGGGGGGATTTTGAGGGGATTTTGAGGGATTTTGGTGGATCTTGAGGGATTTTTGGGGATTTGTTATTGTTTTTTCGGTGAGGCTTCGGGTGTATGTCGTTTTTTTTTAGTTTTGAGAGATGTTTTGGTGGTGAGTTGACAGCATCCCTGGGAGGGTTACATCCGCAGTTCATGGCCGTTCAGTACTCAGTACTCATGATGATACTGTCATTAGTACAAGGTGGTGCCCCTCCCAGTTATATATGGGTTATAATCCCAGTAACTAGTTCGATATATCACCTATAAACCATAGTGAAATTGGACCTACAAACAAACTTAGCTAACGAACTGGGGCACCACCCTGTATGATATTATCATTGTTAGTATGCCATAGTCTCCTTGTGATAATGATAATGATATATTCCCTGCCTTATTGTTAGCCTGATTTTCCCTCATGCATGGCAACAAAATGAGGATCTATCAATGTTATGTACCCAAAATTGTAGATAATTTACCTGTATGGTGGTAAATCCAAAAATAAACCATCCCCAAATTTATCAGAAATGGTTGGTATAAACCATCCAAAATTGCAGGTTTATGGCATCGGATTTTTCAAATTATTCATCTCAACAGTCATGGTGTGGGTTATAAACTCCATCAACTATAGTTACATCATATTATCAGCCATAAACCCTAGTTAACCAAGTTGATATATCTATCATGGATGTTTTCTAACTATAGATATACCTATCATTGCTTTTAGTATACATCATTGAGAGGGCATCTATCGATCCAATCATATGGGGCATACATCATATATCTATAGATTCTATAGATAACTATGTAAACTAATTATAGATATATTGACTGTAGAACTATAGAACTATAGAACTAATATTGACTTATATATATAATACCATTAGTTCCATAGTCAACTAATTGGTACATAGAACTGTATTTTTATATATATACATACCACAATTATACTAATATAGAACTAATATTTATTAGATACATCCATTGAACTATATAGAACTATACTAAATCCCTAATATTGAACTGGATGTATATATACCATAGTTATCTATACTAATATATATACAAGGTGGTGCCCCCAAGTTATAAAAGGGTTTATAATCCCATTAACTAGTTCGATATATCTACCATTAGTCCCAGTTATTAGAGTTATAAACCAACTTAGCTATCTTGGGGGCACCACATTGTATATATAATATAGAACTATAGACACATCCATTGATCCAATCATTAAACCATGGGGCACCTCAACTAAGGCCTTGAGCAGGTCTTTGCCACCTTGGGAATGGTCCGGGATGCCAAGACTCGCGGGACTGGCGTGACTGGCCACATTTTGCCATTGACCCGGCCCGGTAAAAGGTGATTTTCCCCTGGAAAAATGGTGATTTTCCCATGGAAAATGGTGATTTTCCCCTGAAAAATGGCGATTTATGGTACACATACAAAAAGCTATTGAACATGGCCATAGAAATAGTGAGTTTTCCCATTTAAAATGGTGATTTTCCATAGTTATGTTAACGTTTACCAGAGGGTAAATCATGGTTAATTATGGTTTGTCATTTTATGGTACTTTGCTTTGAAATCTTTGAGAACAAATTGAAAGACACTAACCAATTTGTACGGTTGTTATAGTAATAATGAGGTCAATTTCTCATTCTTTGGCGTTGAGATGATACCCACAGAGGGGTGGCAGCTAAGAACCGTATCTTGATTGATTTCTGTCCGAATTTGAGATATAGTAATGTGTATAGTTACATATATATGTCTATGAGTATGCACATTATCCTGTACCTATAGTGTACTACTACGACCCATACATATGATTCATGATATATGTACATTATTATAGACCACACATATGTAATATCGTATATGTGTGTATATATATATATACACGCACCAAAGTTGCGGTCCAAAAACTATAGTACATTATATGTATACAGTATATATACATACATACACATACACACAGAGTCACATTATACTTGGTGACTTGGTGGTTCATCCCACTTATCCCACTGGATAAACCAGGGATATTTCACCTATATCCAGGATTCGTGGGTAGTGAAAACCACCAAACATGCACAACATGCACCCGCTCAGCTACCGAACCTGCTGGTCTTAGCGCTCTTTGCGGCCCCGGAAGCCCAGTGGTTGGGTGGACATCGTGGCGAACGGGATCCCGGGACGGGTCAACTGCTCCAAAAAGACGTGGAAAAGGCCATGGGGGAAACCCGGAAAATCATCGACATTCATGGTGGGTTTTCCACATCTATGTGTACCCTCTGGTAATTTAACATAGCTATTGAAAATTACCATTTATAGTGGATTTTCCCATGAAAAATGGTGATTTTCCATAGTTATGTTAGTTTACCAGAGGGTAAACGTTAAACATGTCGGGTTTTCCACATCGAATTGTTAGTTTACAGGAGGGTACTTTACTTTTTGAATACGATATCCGGGCAAATTTGGTTTAACATTCATTGACACTTGGGGTCTATAGCAAAATTGACCATGAAAGATGGGGTAAAAGGAGGATGCAGCAATGGTTTGTGGGAATTTGAAAATGAATCATCTAAGGATTGAGATCAGTCCAATACCCAGTCATGTTTTTGTGGTTTCTCATGTGCAAACCGGGAGATTGATAGCATATAATTCATACCCTCTGGCTATTTAACATAGCCATGGAAAATCACCATTTTTAATAGGTAAACCATCTATTTCTATGGGCCATCTATACCATGGCTATGTTAAATAACCAGAGGGTAACTTTCAAAGCCACCATGAAGCACCAAGAGGTGCACTGCGAACTGCGTTCCACCAAGGGTGGTGTCAGGGAGTTCATCGCCAGAGGAGGTGGTCGGGGACTCACAGGGCCGAACTGAGGGCGACAGGGTGAAGTGTTGGGTGCCTGTATCGGCTGGTGGTGATTTCACGTAGATTTAAAGATGATCATTATATATACAAGGTGGTGCCCCCCAGTTATAAGTTGGTTTATAATCCCATTAACTATAGATATATCTACCATAAGTCCTAGTTATTAGAGCTATAAACCAACTTAGCTATCTTGGAGGCACCACATTGTAGGGTTAGTGAGAAGGAGTTTTGGTTAACCCATTATATTTAAAGATGATCCTAACTACCCTGGATTGATCAGTGATAGGCCTGGGATAGAGAATCCAGGGTAGTCATGATGTCATGCCCAGAGTCTCGAATGGTGGGGTTGCATCCAACGAACACAAACGCGCACAAAGGGGCTTCCTGAAATACATAAGGATTTCATGACACCTATAATATAGAAAATATAGAATTAGAATATAGATATTGGCAACGTCAACCTCTGGATGAAATCCCCTTCCCACCATTTTTACTTCCCATAAAAAGTCAATTGTTAATGCCGAAACTTTGGCGAAATCCCCGGGATTACTTCCTTATCCCCGCCTTGCTGCCCATTTTAGAGATGAGCCACGAAAAAAAACAACGCAAGCAACAGTCAATCCCAAAAATGTGGTCTTGTAATGTTTTGTACCCTCTGGTTATTTAACAGTTTGCCATGGGAAATGGCCCATAGAAATAGATGGTTTACCTATTAATAGCATGGTGATTTTCCATGGCTATGTTAAATTGTAATGTTTTGTACTAGTTGGTCATGTCAACTGATTTCTATGACCGAAAAACGACTCGATGAGAATCATCCGAGGCTTTGCTCGCAACGAAGACACCTGAGCCGCGGCATGGAGACAAGCTCCATGGTCGGGAAATCGCTGTTCGAAAGATTGGAGTATGTATTGAGGGGATGATGGATAGTATCATGAAAAAAGGTTGGGTATCACCAATGATGATACTCTCAGATACGAGCATTTGAGAATGGTATGATTGGAGTATCATGAAAAACGTTGGGTGTCATGAATTCTTGGCGATCTGATTGCTCCAGTGTTACCCCACTGGGGCCCGATTTTCGCTCCCAGCGCGCGACGCGCCATTTCGTGCGGCCTGCGTCGTGCGAAGCAGCCAGCGTGAGCACGGAAAGACATGGAAAGACCCGACATCAGATGCGAACAAAGGGCGTACGATGTGGTTTTTGAAGAGGTAATATGGTCAATGGGAATGTCAGGATCCTAAAATGGAGGTACTGTACCATATAAGGCCATATTTTGTGGGGATATTCATTTATATGGTAGGTACCTCCAATTTAGGTTCCTGAAATGGCCATTGATATAGGGGTTTAATCAGCAAAAACGGAAATGATACACGTAACCAGCAAGTTAGAAGTGTTTTATTCCACGCGGCAATGGAACATTGGTGTTTTTGAGGGGAAACTCATCTATAATAATCTCTATATAAAGGGATATTTCAATTTGTAAACCGGATGCTACGAAGTGAAACCCAGGTTAAATACGCCTCATACCCTATTGCATTTCGTACAAAAAGATCAAAAAGGGCCAGGGAAAATCCCTGGTCAAATGGAGTCAGTGAAAACAGCGGAGGTATGTCGCAGCCACTTTTCGTTGAAACCGGTGGAGAAGCTTTGGCCCTGGAAGCCGAGATGGGGAAGTTCAAACGACCACTTCAAACTTTCTATCCATCCATCCTATACTATATTCACACCTATTAAATTAATATATACTACATCCATCTATGTATATGTGGGTTTCTTAGGAAATAGGGTAGGCCCCCAATTGTAGCCATGAAAAAAAAGGAACATGATGATAATCCAATGGATTTAGGAGTACACTATAGACAAACTCAACATATGGAGGGTTTCAAAGTTTCAAGGAATCAAAGAATAATTCGAATCAATTAATATACTATATCCATCTATGTATCTGTATATCTGGGCCAAAAAAAAAACGACCTCACTGTCCTCCCGAACCCTGGAATCATGGTTTAGATATGGGGAATCATCCCAAAATGGCCCAACATTTCAGGTTAGTGAATTATTATAAATTGCCCAGATGTATATATATATATACACATACATACATAATATATAAATAGAACTATACATCTGGGTATATATATAAGGTAAATTCACACATATATATATACATACATAATATACTATATCCATCTATAATATACAATATCCATATATATATATAATATCCATTATATATATATATATGATCATATCCATCTTTATATTGATTATACCAGTGATTCACATTGAATATTGACTCATATTCATTAGTATCTATAGTATTCTATATTCATCTATATACATATATATATATACATAAAAAATATAATGATATCCATCTTATGTATTATATATCACCTATATATCATATACATTATGAACATCATAGACAAGAGGAAGAGATCACCTTGTGCCTTTCTAGGCGAAGCTCCAAGAGTCGCAGCAGCGAAGAGACCACGGCGGCGCTCTTTGACAACGTGCCTTTGGGCTGTCGGCGATGGATGGGGCGCCGAAAACGCCATGAAACATGGGAATGTTTATGGCGGTTTAATGGGATTTAATGGGATTCAATTGATGTTTATGTTGGTTTAATGGGATTTAATGAGGAAACCAACAATGTTTATGGGAGTTTTTTCAATAGTTTTGTGGAGTATCAGACCAACAGTATGATGTTTGGGTGTGTCATGAGAATAGAAACATGCAGAATGGTGAGCAATCGGGGGGTTTAAAGATCAAGAAGCAGGGATTCAGCCAATGGGATTTTCAGGATCCTAAATTGGAGGTACCGATTCCATATATAAGGCCTATTTTTCAGGCCTATGTAAGGGAATATCCCCAGAAAATATGGCCTTATATGGTACAGTACCTCCATTTTAGGATCCTGGAGATCTCCCATTGATGACAATGGATATTTAGGCGTGTCATGGCGTGTCCAAAATTGGCCAATGGTGTCATAGAAATCACCGAAATCACCATAGAAATTACCATTAATCACCAATATTCATTTCTGGTTGGTGGTTTGGAACATGAATTTTATGACTTTCCATATATTGGGAATGTCATCATCCCAACTGACTTTCATATTTTTCAGAGGGGTTGAACCACCAACCAGATATCCACTAAACATCACTAAACTATCAATTCTCATAGGGAAAATAGGGAAAATGATGATTGGCCAATGAATTTTCGGGGTACCTAATATTTACAAACCTACTGTAATATTCAAAGTGGTGTCCCCCCAGTTAAAAATGGGTTATAATCCCACTAACTAGTTCGATATATCACCTATAAACCAGAGTGAAATTGGACTTATTTGCACCAACTTTGAAACTAACTATGGTATATCACCACTAACTATAGGTATATCACTAGCTAATTATAGGTATATCACTAACTACAGGTATATCACTAACTAGTTATTAACTTATATCAACTATAGTTATTTGCACTAACTTAGCTAACTGGGGCACCAGCCTGTTGAAACCGTTGAAACCACTCCAGAAAGCCATGGCGGAATGATGTTCACCTCACCCCCTTAACCATGAAATAGGAGGTAAATAAATCAATTAAACATATCAGAAATGAATGAATGCATGAATAGACACATACATAAACACATGAATACATAGATGCACAAATAAGTACATAAACGACTAATTCAATGAATCATATGCAAATAAAGGAGCAATCTATAGATAGGTAAGCAAGTAAATATGTAAATCAGTAAAACCAACCAAACACCCGTTTTTTTCTATGCACATATGATATTTGTTTACAATCATCTGGTTCTGGTTGTGGAGCAGCCAGAATCTGGCCATGGATGGATCCCGCCTTTGGGGTTTGGGTATTTGAATGATAAAAAAAAATGAACTTAACATTATTTCAATTAACTTTGGGGCTTTGGGACATCGGTGAGTCCTTGAATTTGTTTAATTAATTTCTTGGAGCATCATTTTTTGGAGCCATCCCCATGTTTTGTTTTTGTTTTTTTCTGGTTCGTGGTTTGGAACATTTTTATTTTTCCATTCAGTTGGGAATGTCATCATCCCAACTGACTCTAATATTTTTCAGAGGAGTAGGCTCAACCACCAACCAGATACCCACTAAACATCACTAAACTATCAATTCTCATAGGGAAACATAGGGATAGCCATCGTTTTTTTCTGCCGGCCGTGGTGGCCCATCGTGGTAGCCACCGTGGTCGCCGGATCGGCAGGTGCGCACCAATCCTCGCTATGACCGGGATGCGATCACTCGCTTGCCCAGGCCGCTTGGATGATCGATGGGCGCCGAGGTCGCCCAATGTGGTGCCCCCGGTCGATAGCGTTCAGTTGGGGTTCACATAACTCTAATTTCACGTTTGGACTTATGGTAGATATATATATATATAGTTAATGGGATTATAAACCAACTTATAACTGGGGGGCACCACCTTGTAGGGCCTATTGTTTTTTTGTTTTGGGGGAAAAGGTCAAATGTAGAAGAATCATGGATTCGATGAGGGAATTTTCCAATGGGGTAAATCACATTTTCTTTTAATATCAGAAACAATCCTCCCAAAACCTTGGTAGAATGTAATGGCGCTGTGAACGGGGTGTAGTGGCGAATTGTGTATGATCAGTGGATAGGACTCTACCCAAGCAAGTGGGATTTGTGATTGCGACGTAAGTCCTGCGGAGGGGTGTATGCAAAATATGCTTTTATAATATGAATGCAAAGATCTTGCAAAGATGTATGTTTTTCTAGATAGATGGATAGATGGATAGGTGCATAGATGGATAGATATATAGAGATAGAGATAGATATTGTCATGCAGACATAGATATAAATATACACAAATCATACAATATAGACATAGATCCAGATCTAAAAAAACACAGATAGATATAGACATATAATATCATATAGTATAGATATAGACTATCATATATCTCTATATCCATATCTATTTTTGACTGCACACAGAAGCTTACGCTGCGGCGCTGCACTAAATTCTGGGTCCAAAAGATCCATATCTCTCTCTCTCTCTATATATATATCTATATATCCATATCTATTGTATATATATATATATAAATATAAATAGATAAATCAATAAATAAATAAACAATATATAGATATACAGTATAGTGAACTCTGCCTTTTTCGCCGGATGAGGTCGCTCCGGAGCCGTTTGCGACCACTGCTGGACTCCGGATGCCTCGTGCTGCGCCTTGGTGTGGTTCCACCTCGGCTGGTAAGGGGAGCGGTGAACGGAAGGGTTAGGGTATCCGATTTAATGGGATTTATATGGGATTTATATGGGTTTAATGGGATTTATATGGATTTAATGGGATTTAAATTGATATTTACTGGGATATATTTCCAAATGGTAGGGTTATGGTAGGTTTAAGCGCTAAACGATAGGGAACTGATTGGAAATTCAGGGTTCTAGCAACAAGAATTGCGTTACAATGAAGAACTCTCATACTTGGGGGTGTAATGGCAATGGAAACTACCTACAAATGGAGGTCCTTTGTCGCTGGTAAAATCCTCGAACTATTGCTGGGATTTTCCATAAAGAAATCTGACTTCTAAGCCTAAGCCATAAATCATGGCATAAGTTTTACCATCCGGTAAATTAACAAAAAACAATGGACAATCACCATGCTATTAATGCGTAAATCAACGAACTAAATGGCAATTTTCGGTAGCTACGCAACAAATTACCAGAGGGTAATATCCCAATTATTCCCCCATTAAGATTCCATTAAATCACCATTTATTCATGTTCACCAGAGGCTTCCCAATAATCAACCCATTGAAA